ATAATATGAAATAGAATATACAATCATAATGTAGATTATTTTTTTATTATTAGTGAAGACATTCCTAAATGAACCATAACCAGACCTATGCAAATATGAAGGTGAGAGAAAGCAGTAGTGAAAACAAGGTCATCAGTGATTTGCTCTGTTGAGGCACCAGCCACCGCAAAACCACTTCATCTCTAACTAAACCTAAATCCCTCTGTTAGACATGCATTATTCTTCTTCATTGTTCCTGTCTGTAGCAGACAACATGCTGACAATATGTATTTATGGTGACATAAGATTGTGTCAAGATAGATCGCTGTTAGATATGTTTTACCTGCTTGTGTTTTGGTCTCACTGTAGGCATGTGGACCAGGTTTCAGTGGAATGCTTGTTTTGAGTAACAAGAAATGTTTGGAACCATTAGCTTGACTGGCTTCTGGTTTGCAGTGTTGTTGTTCATCAACCTCCAAACTGAAACTTTTAATATTTATTTATTTTTTTATTTCAAATAATTTAATTTCATTGTCACTCATTCTGCCCATGCCGTGGATCCTGACCAAGTGATTTTCTTTTTTCAAGTTATATTCAACATCAAAATGGCCAGATTCTCAAAACATGAAGATAATCAAGTTTTGTCTTTTGTAAATCAAGTCAACAGAAAATACTTTTTTTTTCCTCTCTCCCTCAAATTATTCCCTCCAAGTCATAAATATAGGACTGACTGCTGTGTGGAGCATGATAATCTTGAAATGATTTAAATCTGTAGCTTTGTCTTCATCACTTTTCTTTGTGTGTGTTTCTTCTAGCCCAGTGACACAGATGTAAGTAAACAGGTTCTATTATTATTATTATTTTTACTACGCTCATCAAGTTCCAGTGACCTTCATTCTTTTGTTTTCAGTGCTCAAATGTTGAGGGGGTGTGTCCTTTGAGCTGTGAAAGTGATGTAAGTACATGACTTTACCTTTTTATATGATGCTCTTCACAAACGTTCTTCCCTTTGATTTTAATAACAAATAACTACAGGCATTAGTTTTGCTCATATTTTATCAGGACCTGAGTTGCTACCTAGTCGACAACAATGGCTTCATTCTGCTGTCCAAAGAGAGGAATGACGTAAGTTTCACCGGCAATTCTGCTCTTGTTGTAACTCTGATGTAACTTTAAGAAAATACCACAGTTGTGCAATAAAAGATAAGTTATATTTTATTTACAATTAAACCATGAAAGCAGCAAAAAAAGAAGAAAGATCTAGTGCCTATCTGCGTGGAATCCTTAATTCTACAGCCATAAAATCTAAATTAATCTTATATATAAATGTGCTCATAATGGAGTTAAAACACTATGATGTTCTTTTTTAATAAAACCTTGATTTTAGAGACTTTATTAGCCTTAGTTATTTATTTCACTTTAGATGAAGACATCTTGTCTCATGTAGTAATTTAAAGACAACCGCTTTGTGTTTGTTAAAATAGTCTGAGAGAGAAGCACAACAAAATGGCAGCACAACCACAGACAATGAGATGTTTACTCTGATTTATTGAGTAACTAATTCAATAAATCACTCAAAGAAAACCAATATCTCATTTGAATCTAGATAAGAACTTCTTTACACTCATCAAATTTCATCAATTTCATTTTAAGCACCTAAACACTAACATCAGTTTTGATTATTTTCAAACAAAGTTCCAAAACACCAATCACTTTTATGCTGGACACTTTTGGAAAGCTGTAATTACATCAAAACCCAATTGTAATCAGAAATTGGATTTCTTGATCTCTGGAAGTAGAGATTAAGAAGCCTCTGTTCCCAGATGTTTCTTAATCTAAAGCTTTGGAAGTAAATATAAAATCACACATGGTTCTTTGTGCAATATTGACAAATTACTGTCATCAATATGTTTTTTGTTTGTTTGTTTTTTTTCTCAGTAGGTATTTCAAAGTGTCTTAGTATCTTTCTCATTTGGAATGTCACTGACCGCGCCAACAAATAGAAGCCCAACGAGATATGACAAAACATTAAAGTAACATAATGATTATTATAAATATTGTAATTTTCCAAGTAAGTGGGAACGGCATCAATGTGGATCTGTTATGTCTACGTAGATACTGCCGTTCAGATTATTTCTCAAAGCAATTATCTAAACAACAAACAGTTTTTTGAATATTTTTGAGAATTCAATAAACAAAAAAATAAAAAGAAACATGCTGATAAAAATGTTACATTTTACCAAACTCTCCCACTGGTTTAAGTAGTTTCTGGTTTAACCTAACATAAGAATAAAGTCAGAAAATGCATCAGTTTCATCTGCAATGCTCAGCAGTCCAGTATTGTATTTCAAAGATCTGCATTAAGCAAAAGCTACATATTGATGAAATACTTTTTAAAGATATTTTTTGCTCATGGTGGTGAGCAAAGTGTTTTTGAAATTAACTATTATTTTTGAACCAATAGGTTCAGGCTACTTGGAATCCCAAAGATGCATCTTTTGTTATTCAGATTTAGTGTCAGAGTTGTGGAACTCATCTTCATCTCTGTTATTTTGGATGAAAAGGGATTTCAGGGTTTTGTGACTCTTTGGATCATTTTATGGTCTTATCAAAAACATCTGGATGGTTCATGGGATTTAAAGGCAGATTAGGATTTAACCCACGTGTTTATGCTGCATTAAGGAGATTACAGCAGCTGTTGCACCTGCAAGCATCATCTGACCTTGGTAGAGCGTTAAAGAGAGGTGCCAGTTTGCAGAAGGTCTGATGGTTTTTATCCATGCAGGGAAAATTCATCCAACCTGCTAATCAAAAAACTGTAAAATGTTGTGTCTGTCAGATGAGACTGAGCAGGTATAGAAACTACTGGACTGATAGTAAAATTATGCAGTGTATATACACACACAGCTGCTTGGGGCTATCATAAAGGACAGGTGTATTTGCTAGTTATCATCACTTTTGGTCTTTCAGGATTTAATTAGAATCTGCAAATTGTGCATTTCTTTTATGCACCAAACAGCACAGCTTGTTTTTAGACTTATTAAATTATGTCAGTAGGCTTTTTAAGTGGCTGATTAGGGCAGGATTTGTAAAATCTTAAGTTCCACAGGAGTTTGTGTAGAAGTGTGATATACTCAAGACAGAAACGGATTAGGAATCTGATGTCCACATTACGGCTGCCTGTGAGATTTGGATTAATGGCTAAGAGTCATAGCACGAGAATTAATCCTAAACCCGCCAAGTTGCTATAAATACACTTATTCACCACATTCACACACATCCGGCAGGTTGGCTGTACATTATAAAACAGATAAATGATTCTATTTAAACCTTCTTTTTTTTATCAAAAAAGTTTAATTGGTAAGGTTTAGACTTATGAAGTGGTGTTCAAATGTAGAAAATACAACTACCCAGAAATAGTCTGATCTAAAGTGACCTACAGAAGAAGCTCATTTTTCATTTTCATGTTGACTGTATTCCCAGTGGCGTTACTAAGCAGATATGACAAAGTGCTGCTTTGACGTGTTTGCTGAGCTCTGAGTTTTGCAGGCAGGTGTGGAAACACTAAGAATCTACCAAATGCTACACCACCGTTGCGTAAAGGTTAGGCCTATAGAATATTGCTGGGTACGACAAAGACTTTTACAGAAGAGAAATGACATCACTACTAATAAGAATAAACAAGAGCAGAGAAAATTGTAGGAAATATGGCGACCCAGCAAAAATCAAAAAAGCACAAAAATGTTAACTATTGTGTCCAAATACATGTGATTCATCCTCTAGAAACTGGAAAACTGAAGAAATTAAATATTCTTCTATATAAAAATAGATTAGACAAGTTTAATCTGAAATGTATTTTCAGAGAACTAACATCAACATTCATATGGTGTTTAAAATTTCCTCCGTGAACCGTTAATGACAATCCTAATTGTTTATGAATGCTACAGCTTATTGCTGAATGAACAGGGAAAAGGATCAACATGATTAGCAGAGCTTTTAGCTTCTTCTGTTAGCATTACCACAGCATTTAGCTTACCATTAGTACTGAGATAACATACATGACGTAACACATTTCTAAGGACTGTTTGTGTTGCCTGTGCTAGGGGCGCGGTATAGGGGGAAAAAGTGTTGGCAATTCTAGGGACTCTGACCAACAGGGGGCCCTCCACAATTTATTTCTTTATTTATTGTTCATAGAAATTTAAAAAATTGGTTGTCCAATACTTACACGTGAAGCCTATCTTATTGCCTAATCTTATCTTCGTCAGCAAAGGTTCATAAATCAGTCTCTGTCTTTTTCTGCTCTGCAGTGAGAGGTTTGACTGGCAAATTGACCCACCAGGTCAGGTCTGCACATTTGCAGTTAACAATATTCACCCCACTGTTGCCAACTCAGTGGTTTTCTTGCTATATTTAGCGACATTTCAGACAAAAACAAAATTGGTATTGGCCAAAATTAAAATTGGAAGGTCAGGCTTTTTAAAGACCAGTAACCAGGGATCGGCCAGAAAACTGCAATCGGTGCAGCCCTACACACATATTCATGACATTCTTTGATTAAATAAATTTAATAGCTAAAAATTTTATTTATATCAGGTGAGTCTTTTTTCAACTTAGAAGTTGATGTAAAAATAATGTTTGTTTTAGCCACAAAATGATTATGCTCAGCAGCAAACAACATATCCCCAACTACAGCATAGAGTAGCTCATCGATGTAGCAGCTATGTAGCCTGACGTAAAAACATTTTGCTAGACAATGTCAAACATTGAGAAGTTTTAATTATTGTTATCAAACGTTATCAAACACAGCGTTTTGAAGCCAAAAATACCTCAGAAATATACAGAGCCAACCATGAGAATCAACTCATTTGAAGTTTAAACTCACTTTCAGACAAACACAAAGACCCTAGCATAAATGTTTGGCTGTTTAACTGGACTGTTCAAGCTAATTTTCTGTCAGCAGCTTTACAAATCTTTTACATTTGCATTACATTACATTAACAAGGCACATTAAAACAAAC